CCAGCACCAGCACCAGCACCAGCACCAGCACCAGCACCAGCACCAGCACCAGCACCAGCACCAGCACCAGCACCAGCACCAGCACCAGCACCAGCGCCAGCGCCAACACCAGCAACGTGGCAACGCTGCAACCCAGTTCCACTTTGAATACTACCGCGACTAGATCGCACGCCATGTCCACACCGTCACGCACCCGTTCACGATCGAAATGCAATGATACCATTTCTTCACCCCAATCATTTGAGCCAAATTTGTGGTTCATTTTTCGTGACCTTTTTTTCATTCTTTTTTTTTTTTTACCCTTCGTCCGGAGGCCGGACGGGGCGATGACACGACGCACACGTAGGCGCTGTCGGCTGCGATGTCGGCACCACCCTGAACGAGGCCGTGAGTGGACGCATCTCGTCGCGCCGCAGGAGCTGGTCAAACAGCCGCAGTCGCGAGGGCTCGCGCCGATCAGACGCATGCAGTTGCCGCCACACCCATTGCGGTCCCGGCGAAATCGCACGCATCATCGCCGACAGTTGGCCATCGTCGCTCGAGTCGCGGCTATGCCGTCGGCGGAACACAGGGCGACCGCCATCACCATTGTCATCGTCGCTGCTCGCACTGCTGCTGTCGTCGTCGTCGCTCACACCGCCATCACCATCGTCGCTGGTCCTCCCCCCGTCATCGTAGGCTTGCGACGACGACGAAAAAGACAAAGACTCTGCATCGGCAGGCGGAACGAGAGACGAAGGAAGATGCGATAGTGCATACGTGCCAATGTGCCGGTCGTGATGGAAGTCGAGTTCGGCCGGGGCGGCAGAAGCATACATCGGATCAGTGCGCATCGCAGCTAGAAAATCGTGCACCGTCGCGTCGTCGGATTGCACGCCGGCTTCGGTCCCATCCGCATGGCTCGCGCTTCGCCCTGTCCGGTCAGCTTCATCGAAGCCGCTTCTCGCGACGGATCTGACGCCGCTGCTATCCCCCTCGTCGCCGTCGTCACCCCAATCGTCATCCAGGTCGTCATCCTGGTCGTCATCCAGTTCGTCATCCAGGTCATCTTCGTCGTCCTCGTCATCATGGTCATCCTGGTCATCATCCTGGTCACCTTCGTCGTCTTGTTGCTCGCCTTCTCCTCCGGACGACAAGATTCCGGCATCCGACTCATCGTCGCTATCCAGACCGAGGAGCGACAGACCTGATGGCGGCAGTAGGAACCGCGGACGCGTGCCACCGCCGTTGGTCTTCGTGGCGAGGTACCTCGCTTTAGGACCCAAATTGCGCCTATGCAGCGGTGCGGCGGAATGTACAGTGATGTCGGATGTGATGCCTGCGGTAAAGATGTAGGGCAGCGTCGGATGGATGAGCGCCGTGTTGACGATGCTCTGTCCGCCGCCGAGCACGTAAGAGAAGCGATCTAGTTTGGCGGGGCGCACGATCCTGTCCGCGCGAAGAATCGAGCCGCTGCAGTAGGCTACTTCCGAGTCGTGGTCCACCTCGCCCTCGCCGGCAATGTCCGAGTCGCTATCGCTCTCGTCGGACCCAACGGCCTCAGCTTCACTGCCTGGTCTCTGGGTGGACGCTTTGGTTTCGGATTCGAGGCCGTGAGGCTTGAGTGCCGGTGCACGCTGCTTGTGCAGCTGCGAGGTCTCGCGAAGCCATTCCTTGCGGCTGACGAACTCGCGGCGCAGCTTGAGATCCTCGACAGGCGGGATGCGAAAGATGTAGGCTCGAAAGTCGTCGCTTCCAATGGCATAATGCAGATCGCCTGTCTGCTGTTCGAGACCAAACGAGCCGTGCTTGATGGTACAGCACGAGGAGAGCTTCTTGGGTGCGGCGGGAGTGCCCGGAGCCACGCCGGCATGTCTGAAACTGTGCGGGGGGACATGGTCCTCTACGATGGACGACTCGAGCGTGGCGAGAGGATCCGGATCGTTGATGGCATAGATGGTGGGACGGTAGCGAGAGACGCTCGAGGCGAGAAAGCGACCCGAAGGATCGAAGCAGATGCTGTTGGTCTCGGCTGCAGCGGCGATGAGGCCTCGTGAGCACGAGTTCTGCATGAGCGAAGTGTGGTAGTTGAGCACGGCATCTTTGCTGGAGAGTGGCCGGTCTGGGTCGGAAGAAAAGCACTGGCGCACGTCATAAAGACGCGTGCTGCCGGTGATGCGACCGCACGTGGCGGCAGCAAAGGTGTTGCCATCCGATTCGTTGGGATTCCACTGCACGGACGAGAAGCCGGCAATGGCGTCGGATCGAGTGGCAGAGACACGCTCGTGAGGAAGGCGGATGTCGATGAGGTTGAGATTGCCGGCATCGTCGCAGCTGAGCAGCAGGTTGGGATTGGTGGGGTGAGCCGAGATCTCGGGCACCGAATCGTCGTGGCCACCGATTGAGCCGTGATTGAGGGGACTGCGTGCTTCGGGCCCTTTCTCGACGTATGAACGCAGAGGCATACTGGAATGCTCGACGTCGTAATAGAGGATCTGGCTGTCGTTGCCGGTGGAGAAGAGGTACTTGTTTTGCGCTGCCCACGAGATGGAAAAGATGTTGGACTGATGACCGTGCAGGCTGACGATGGGCGTAACAGGGTCGTCATTGCTATCGATGTTGAGAAAGAGGTCGCGAACGTGTATGTCGCAGTCGTCGCCTCCACTGGCAAGCCAGCGACCCTGACCTCGCGAGATGGCGAGAGCGTTTACGCAAGAGGTGTGGCCCCCAAGAGAGCGGCGGATGCGAAATTGCTCCCTCTCGATGTTATGCTGAAGGGCCGAGCGACGGTGCGCTACGACCTGGCCTATCGACCGCGAGGATGCGCCAAAAGGGACGCGGCCCCACTTTTCGTCGGCGACGAAGGACAGTCCCGAGCGTGGGAGATATAGTGAATCGAGGCGGGATGGAAGCTTTTCAGCGTCGTCGAGATCGATACCAGCATGTGCATCTACCGACCTGTCATCTCGTTGCCGAGCAGCATTGTCGGAGTGGCCGCGCTTGCGCTTGGAGGTGGGCATGGCCGTGGTATGGTGTCAGCCGCCAGCGTGGATGGCGACCCGACTCGAGGAAGCGCTCGGATGTCGACACTTCATCACCGTGTCGTAGTCAGTCAAGCGGGTCGTGAGAGTGATCAAGACAAGTGGCAGAGCAGCAGTGGCCGTCACACCTGTAGCAGCAGGCGACTGAGCATGTCGTGAGAATGTGATGAGCGTCGAATGTGACCGAGTGATGGAGAGCGAGCTGCGGCTAACCTTGCGTCGGCAATTCCGATTCCCGACTTCTCCGCGGGCGCAGCAAAATCAAGGCACCACACAAGGAAAAATGCCAGCCAGGTCCGGCTCAGCGGGTAAGAGGGTCGCGAAGAGGAAAACGTGCGTCCGGCGGAGACCCGACGGCACGAGAGCGCTGCGATCCGTCAGCAGCAGCAGGGGAGGGGAGAAAAAAAAGAGGCCGGCTAGAGTCCGATCAATGCGCCGCGGCGCGCCATCCATCCGAACGTGACTCCGTCTCGAGACGGCTTGGCTCTGCACTGCATGACGCTTCCACCGCCGTTCGCCTCTTGTTCATCACCCTCATCGGCTCATCCGACCCGACTCTCACGCTTTGGAATTGCTAGACTCAGTGGCGCAAGGACACGGGCATCCGCATCGTCTCGGTATCGACTGCGATCGAGGCGCATGTGCGGCAAAACAGCCTGAACATCGGATCGGTGAACAGGCAGCGCTGACTCGACGCATCAAAGTTTGTCCGCTGCGACTGTCTGTCGTCGGCTTCTCCGTGCCGCTGTTGCTGTCGCTGCTGCTCGAGTGACTCGCAGCGCGTCATCATGGACTCTTCCGGTCACGCCGACGCGCGCCACGTCAAGCGGAAACGATCCGCTTCGCCATCGAGCTCGTCCACTCGACCCTCGCAGACGACGCCGCTGCCGCACTTTCACGAACTCGGTGGTGCAAAGCAGCCGCGCCATGCGCATTCGCATCTGCACTCGCAGCACTCCCATCTCCACTCGCATGCGACATCACGCCCGGCGGACGACTCTGATCCGTACGCGCGCTCGCTCCATGCCCGTTCGCGCTCTTCCACCCAGTCGCAACAGCAGCAGCAGCAGCAGCAGCATTCTGACTCGGAGCGCGACGAACACGACATCGATGCTGCTATCCATTCCCCACGCCAGGCACGCTCTCCCTACGCCACCAGCGACTTGCGCGGCTCGCCCTCGACGACGCATGTAGATTCGGTCGCTTCGCCGTCCATCAGGCCGCTCTCCAGCATCAATCATCGTCCCGTTGCGTCGTCGTCGTCGTCGATCTCCAACAACGGGGCCGCTACCACCAACTCCTCATCGCGCTATCTCGCACAGCACCACCATGGCTCGACTCACAGTCTAAACGCATCCTCTGCGCGCCACGACGACGCCCCCTCGCCGTCGTCTTCGCATTCCTATCGACCTCGTTCGCCAGTGCAGTACTCCTCTCGGTCCGGATCCCACCCGACTGTGACTCACGCCTCGCCCAGCATCCCTTCAAAGCCTCTCTCTGCAGCTACTGCCACCGAATCGTCCCATCTCGCTGATCTCGAAAACGACCTCGCCTCCATCACGTCTCCGCAGCAGCGCGCTTCGTCGAGCGCCACGCCACAGACGCCCCTCACATCTGCTCACAAGATGGACAACCACGCCTCTCTCAGAGACGAACATGCGCGGACGTCTGCGTCGGCTGATCCGTCTGCCACCTCGTCTCCCGCCGTCAAGAAGGAGCAGTCGACGCCGTCGGAAAAGCCGCGCGGGGGTCAGGCGTGTCTCGAGTGTCGCCTGGCCAAGGTGCGCTGTCTACCCTCGGACGAGTCGGAAAGCTGCCAGCGCTGCCACCGCTTCAACTTTGAATGTCTCTTTGTCCAGCACAAGCGCGGCAGAAAGCCAAAAAGCAAGCTCCAGGGACGCGACCTCACGCTGCTCGCAGAAGCCGCCTACGCCACCAATGCATCGCCCGTACAGACCGATCGTCCGGCAGCGCGCAAGTCCGCTTCGACTTCCAATCTGGTCACCTCGGTGCCTTCCGCTACAGCTACAGCTGCTGCTGCTGCTGCTGCTGCTGCTGCTGCGGCTCCAGCACCGTCGGCCGCCTCGCCCGGAGTGCGATGGAGCAACGCTCCCGACGGCTCCTTTCCAGCGGCTCCCTACTCTCGCGACTATGCTGAGCGCGGCCGACGTTCGACCATCCACAACAGCATGGATCTTGACAACGAAACGAGACGTGACGCCTCCCCAGCCTCCACCTACTTTCCCAAACGCTCCTCCTCGGCATTTGCACCGCACGCGGACACGCGGGCAGCGCTCGAGCCAAAGAATCTCTTTGGCGTCGATGTTGGCCGCATGACCCAGGCCATGCAGCAGGCCATGCGCTCGTTAGAGAGGAGGCGCGGCGCCCCCTATACCCTCGTGACTAACAACGAGATCTCCAGCGTAGACAACGGCGACGACGACACCAGCGACATGGGCGCCACACCCCCGGCCCCTGGCGCCGCCACCGCCGCAGACACGAACGCGGTCAACGAGAGCTTCGAGCTCATCGCCGAACAGCCGCTCACGCTGCGTGTCATGCTCAAGCCGTTCGAGGTGTCGGACCAGCCCGACTGTGAGACGCCGCGCATCCTGTCGGACGACCGCAATCCGCTCGCCTCGCAGCCATCGCAGCCGCAGCTCAACGACCCCATCACACAGGGCATCCTCTCCGAGCCCGCCGCTCGCGCGTTGTTCGACCTGTTCATGCACCACTGCAACGCCTGGAGCGGTGTCTTTGACCCGTCGCTCCACACGCACGACTTTGTGCGCAAGCGCTCCTCGTTCCTCTACACCGTGCTGCTCTACGTCGGCGCAAGGCACTCGCGGCGCCCGGCGGCACACCACCTCATCGTGCGCGAGAAGCGCGGCGAGTCGATCGCCGAAGCCGACTGGGATTTGGCCTATGCCGATCCGCTCGTAAACCGCTCGGCGGCTGCGGCGGACGAGTACGCTCTCCAGATTCGGCGCCGCATCCACGAGCAGGCACGCGAGCACGCCGCACGCGCATTTGTCGACGGCGACCGCACCGTGCTGTGCTGCCAGGCGTTCTTCATCCTGGCGAGCTGGAAGCCGCTCGACGACGGCCTGAGCGTGATCCAGGTGGGCTACGCCTTCCGGCTGGCGATGGACATCCAGCTGCACGCCGAGATGCCCAACTGCGTCAAGCCGAGCGACTCGAACCTCGACGCGGCGGGGCGGCAGCGGTACGAGGCGGTGCAGCGGCGCTTCCGCAACCGGCAGCGCACGTTCCTCATGCTGTTTGTGCAGGACAAGTCGCAGCAGATCTCGAACAAGATCACGACGCACTCGATCTCGTCGGACAACGTGCTGATCCGGCGGTGCCAGACGTGGTGGCGCCATCCGGGCTCCATCCCAACGGATGCGTTTGTGTGCGCCTCGGCCGACATCCGGCGCATCCAGGGCAAGTACGTCGAGCTGTACGACCGCATCGAGGCGCTCACCTCGGCCACCTCGGACGGGCCGAGCATCATGATGCCTGCGTTTTTGTCCGATCTGTTCGAGTGGAATGCGCGCTGGCACGAGGCGCTCGGGCTGCGCGAGGATGCAGACGAGGACGTGCACAGCGACGACGCCGCCGCGGTGCACCGACGGTGCCAGCGCCTGTGTCTGCAGCTGTGGAAGGACAATGTCAAGACGTACGTGTCGTCGCTCGTGCTCAAGTCGAGCCTGAAGCAGGCTGCGCTGCAGGAGCACCAGGAGATCGTGCGCAACCACCACCGGCGCTCCGCCACGCGCGGCACCGAGGACCGCGACTCGGTGTCCGGCAAGTCGCATCTTTCGAGTGGGCTCGAGCCGGGCATGGTGAATCTCATGGCCATGCCTGCGTTTTGGCCGTGCGTCGAGGGCGCACGTGGCGTGCTGGAGGCGGTGTGTGCCTTCCCGCCCGAGCGGCTGCAGTGCGCGCCGGACGCGACGATCATGCAGACGACGCATGCGGCGGTGCTGTTGTGCAGCCTGGCGACGGTCAAGTCGCAGCCGCCGCTGGGGACGGGCTACCTGCGCTCCAACATCCAGCTGATCGACCAGACCAGCGCCGCGTTCCGCCGCGCGAGCATCACGCAGGAGGACACGGTGCTGCACATTGCCATGTACCTCGAGTCGCTGCTGCGCCCCAAGAATGCGCAGCCGCGCCACAGCGCCGCCGCCACCAACGGCAAGACGGGCGTGGCGAGTGTGCAGTCCGGTGGCTCGGTCGCCGGAGCAGCGGGCGCGGTGGGTGCGCAGCTCCACCAGCATGGCTCGGCCAGGGGCAATGCGCCCGCTGACACGCTGCAGGGTGGCGGGGCCGCAACGAGCGGCGCGACGCCGCTGGACGGGGCCGCACTCGGCGCGTCGGGGATGGGCAACTTTGCGCAGTTTACCAACTTTACGCTCATGTCCAACAACACCGACATGTTCTACTCGGGCACCAACGGCGGCGGCGTCGGCGGCGGCAATGGGCGATGGCTCAACGGCGCGCCTGGCGTACCGCCGCAGGAGGGCAATTTGTTCTTCAACGGCACGGGCAGCTTTGACCGCGAGGGGCTGGATGCGATTGCATCGGCGGCAGCGGCGGCGGCAGCGGCGCAGAACATCGAGGAGGGCAGTGCGGCGCCGATCGACATGGCGGGATGGTCATCGGCCATGGGCCCGAGCGGGGCGGCGCAGACTGCGGTGGCGGCGCCATGGAACAGCCTCATGTTTGGCGCGACCAACGGCGGCGGAGGTGTAGCCGAGGGCTATCAGAACACGGCCGCGGTGTTTAATGCACCGAACGCGAACGCAACGCCCAACACGCGCGAACAGGCCGACGAGACGCTGCGCATGCTGTTGCGCTTCCTCGACGGCTAGCTCGCTCATCACTGGGAATAGAAAAGCTTAGCATTGACACTTGGAGTGAGGTGGGACTAGACGAACTGGAAGGGGGTGGGATGGCCGTGTTGGAGGGTGATGCCCTTTGTCTGGGTGAACTCGCGAATGCCTTCTGGGCCATTGAATCTACCGTAACCGGAGTTCTTCCAGCCTCCATGAGGCATTTGAGGGTCGTCATGGACGGGCTGGGCATTGATATGGACCTGACCTGCGTCGATGCGGCCTGCGATTTCGAGGGCGAGCATTGTGTTTGTCGAGTAGATGCTTGCGGCGAGACCGTAGTCGGGGGTGTTTGCGATCTGGATGGCCTGGTCGACGCTGTCAAAGGTGATGAGCGACAGCACTGGGCCAAAGGTTTCTTCGGTGTAGATCGACATTTCGGACGTGACGGGGGAGAGCACAATGGGTTGAACGAGTGCACCCTCGAACGAGGCCTGACCAACAACAACCGAGGCACCCTTTGAAACGGCATCGGTGTAGAGCACTTGCAGACGGTCGGCGGAGGCTTTGTTGAAAAGCGACCTCATGGCGTGTTTGTCCTCCATGCCCTGTGCCAACTTGGCCGTAAACACTTGCTTGTTCTGGTCGAACATCGTCGTCAAGGTCTGTTGCAACTTTTGGGCGACATTCTTGTGGACCAAGACATTGTTGACAGCCATGCAGATCTGGTTGCTGTTAAGATATCCTCCGAACAAAATACCATTTGCGGCCAGGTCGAGATCGGCATCTTCCAGAACGATCAGCGGGGCTTTACCGCCCAGTTCGAGTACGACGGGTTTGAGGTGCTTAGCGGCGGTGGCTGCGATGATGCGACCCACACGGGTGGAGCCGGTGAAGTTGACCTTGCGCACGCGCGGGTGTGCAATCAGTGCCTCGGTCACCTCAGCCGCATGTGCCGGATCCACATGCACAACATTAAGCACTCCCTTGGGCAGACCTGCATCGATGAGGATCTGTGCAACCGAGAGATGGACGCGCGGTGCGAATTCCGACGTCTTGAGCACCGCCGTGTTTCCCGCTGCAATCGCATACAGCACCGACCTAAGCCCCAACACAAACGGAGCATTCCAGGGCGCAATGGCGAGGACTACGCCGTACGGTTCACGACGGACGATCTTGATCGCTCCGTCTTCGCCGGGGGGAAGCATCTCGGACTTGAGTGCAGCCGTCATGGATTCAGCAGCAGCAGTGAGGTGACCTAAGCCAAGAACGCCGAGTTCAAATCCGGCCAGACCGCGCGATACAACCGTCTCCTGCATCGTGTTCACCGCGTACTGCGGGATGCGCTCCTGCAGAAGCGAGGCGGCTTTGAGGATGATCTCGCGTCGGCGCGAGACGGGCGTAGCCTTCCAGGCTGGAAACGCAGCCGCAGCAGAGTCGACTGCGAGCTTGGCTTCGGCGGGAGAAACGGCGTGGACACGGTGCGTCACTTGGCGTGGCGAGTCCGACGACTGGTCCGTACGGTACACGGCGTACGTGTGCGAGGTAGTGTAGGGAGCATTGTCGATGATACACGGCAGCGTCGAGGCCGAGATAAAGTCGACCGTGGCCGAGTCGGATGTAGCTGCGGGCGTCATGGCGAGCGCAGTCAGAAGGAAGGGGGAGGGGAAAGATGGATGGAAAGGGGGAGGGAAGCCGACTGATGTCAGCGGCTCATTTTTATGATCTGCAGGAACAAAGACGCACGGGACAGCCAAGCAACGCACGGGAAGCCAACAGCGGCCCAGGTGGGGAGAGCCGCTCCTCCCCGTTCCCATCCATATCGCCTGGGCTCAACTCAATCTTCGGGAACACGGAGGTCGAGCATTCTGCACTTCATCCCCGAGCTGGTGGGGACGCGGCGTGGGAAGCTCGCCTCCGTGATCCGCAAGATGCCCCGCCCACTCGCTTCCCTCCACACGTCTCGCGATCCGCTTCCGTATGAAGGTTCGGCAAGCTTGCCGTGAATTCCGTCGCGCTGGCGCCTCAAAAACCCCGTTGGGAGCTGCCCTTTCATCATTGCCTTGGTGCTCCTTTCCCAAGTGCCTCGGTGTGGGAATCGTGCTCGTCGTGGCGTGGATCGCTTCATCGCAGCTGTCAGCTTTGTGCCTGCCATGCACCGACGAGGTTGCCGAAGTGGCTGGCCCCCGCAGAACCTCAAATCGAACTTAACATGTAAAGGCAATCGCCAGCACGTGACTCGGAACGACACGTTTTCCGGCCGGAAACGTTGGAGTGTTACTTTGGGCGGCGCACGCGGCGGCGGGTGGTGGTGGTGCTGAGTTGCATACGAGTGTTGATCTCGACGCCTTTGCTCCTCACCACGCACACTTCCACCAACCTCTCACCCCGGTGATCCCACTAAACTGCACACGCTGAACAGCAACTGTGCTCTAGTGGAGTATATACAGCATGGCGACGGCACAGGCAGCCGCGGCGACACGCACGCACCTCACGCTCAAGGGATCGACGGCGCTCGTGCACGAGTTCTTCAACTACTCGGTGCAGTCCATCCTGTACCAGCGCAACATCTATTCGCCGGACGACTTCAAAACGGTCAAAAAGTATGGTCTTCAAATGCTCGTCACCACCGACGATGGGTTGGCCGAGTATCTGGATACCGCCATGGCGCAACTTAAAGTCTGGTTGGAGAGGGGCGACGTCACACGGCTTGTTGTCGTCATTGTCGAGAAGGACTCGGGCGAGACGCGAGAGCGATGGCAATTCGACGTCGAGGTGATCAATCAACCTCTCAGCGATACTGCGGAAGACGAAAAGAAGGGATCGGGGGTGAAGAAGACGGATGCCCAAGTGAGGGCGGAAATCGCTGCGCTGATCAAACAGATCACTGCCAGCTGCACCTTTTTGCCCGTGCTGGACGAGCCGTGTGCATTTCAAATCCTCGCCTACACAAACAAGGACACCGAAGCTCCTGCCGACTGGATCGACTCCGACGCACGCTTGATAGCAGAGGGCCAGGCCGAACAGGTCCGCCTCCGCAGCTTTAGCACCCACGTCCACCGCGTAGACGCCATGGTCGCCTACCGCAGAGAAGAAGATGACGACTAGCACCCCCCGAAAGAAAAGACATTCGCAAAGACATGTTTGCATTCAGCCTGTGTGTGCGGCATCGCTAGTCCAGTTCATCCGGCTCCAATGTGGGTCCACCCATGCGCGCCTCGGTCGCACGTCGAATCCGATCCCGCATCTCGTCCCTACTCTCACCCTCCTGCTGTTGCGGGAAGAAGTCGTCGCGATCATCCACCAGAGGCGGACTCGATACGATCGCATTCACCTCCACCCCGTTCGTCCCTCCAGCCGTGGCAGGTGGCGACGGATACACGGTGGACGTGATCGTAGTCGACGCAGGTGGCTGCGTCTGGAACGTGGTTGTCGTCGTCCCGCGCGAGTCGTGCGAAACCCTCGCATCCCCACCGCCATTGCCGTTGCCGTAGCCATTACCGGTGCCGGAAAGCGTGTTGCCGTTGCCGTTGCCGTTACCGCTGCCAAATGCCGTGATGAAGAACGCACTGAACGGGTTCGGCGGTGAAGGCCACCCTCCAGGAACACTCCCCGTTGCATCCACCGCATCTCCGTCCTGCGTATCTGCCCCTCGCGCATCTGTACTGCCACCTGCAGCACTAGCATCGCCCTCACCGCGCGGCTTGGCGATGCTCACCCTACACACGGGACACGTGCCGTGCAGCCTGAGCCAGGGCACCAAACAGTCCTCGTGAAAGATGTGCGCGCACGGCATGGACACCAACTCCTCCTGCTGTTCCGCCTCCTCCCCTTCCTCCTGCCTGTCGTCGGGCGTGGGGAGAAAGTCGTCCTTGCACGTGGGGCAGTCCTGATTCTTTGCACGTTGGATCCTCTCCGTATCCTCGCGTGTGAATCGCTCGAGCTTTTCGATGACCTCCTCGGACGCGGGGGGCGGGGCATTGGATCCCTGCGTCTGCTCCATGAGCTGGCTGATGATGTCGTCGAGCCCCTGCTGGCCGAGCACGTAGTCGCCCCACTGCCCGCGCGGCCCGCCGTGCGCACCTGCCGCCAGCACGTCGAGCAGCGACCCTCCTCCGCCCCCTGGTGCACCCGGCTCGCCAAATAGGCCCGTGAAGAGATTGCGCAGCGCAGCGAGCTCGGGCGGCAGCTCGTCGGTGCGCGCCTGCGGCGATTGCGGCGGCTGGTGGTAGGTGCCGGTGCCGCGGTTGTCGTGGTTGAAGCGTCGGCCGTCCGCAGCGCTGCCGGCACCACCCATGCCGTCGTCATGCACGTGGTCGTCGTCTGGCTGTGCGGGCTCGCCGAAAGCAAAACGAAGAAAGTTGGACAGCGTCGGTGGAGTGCGCATGTCGTGCTGTTGTTGCTGTTGTTGCTGCTGTTGCTGCTGCTGCTGCTGCGCCGCGCGCTGGTACGGATCTCCCCCGCCCGAGCCATACTGGACGTTCCACTGCAGACCGAGCGGGCCAAAGGATGTGGAGCCCGAGCGTGTTGTAGACTGTGATTCCGACTCTCGAGACCGTGGCTCCTGCGCTGGCGCTGCAGCGTTTGAATCTGACTGCGCACCCGACGAGCTGGAAGGTTGTGTGCGGTTGGCTCCTTCTTGCGCGCGTGCGGCACCTGACGCCAGCGCCATCAGCAGCCCGCCGAGCCCCTGACCACCGGTAGGCGCGCCGAAGGCGATTGAGGGTGCTGCGCCGGCACGACTGGCGTGTGGATGCAAAGGCTGAAAGGGAAAGTCGTCATCTTCGTCGGGATCGTCGAAAAAGTCGGCCGGATGGGTAGCGGTACCTTGATCAATGATCTCGACGAACTGACCGTTGCAGCGTGGACAGGTGGGGTCGGGCGTCATGAGCGGGCGGATCTCGATGCCGCACTCGTGACAAAAAGCCATCTGGTTGATGCCGCCCGCACTCGGCTGCGAGCCGGACGATGGCGAGGCCATTGTAGCGAGTGTGAAGGTGTGGCGATGTCGATGCGGTTGCGATGAAGAGAGGAGGGCATCGGCCGTTGCATCCGCTGTTGGATGTCGCGAGCGAGGAAGCGGGCTCGAGCGCCAAAGGGTGGGATTGGCAATTTGACTCAGCCTCGTGCGCATGATTTTGGGCGTGCAGTGCAGTGCAGCAGTGCAGCCGATTCTCTCAGATTCACCGCTTCGCTGCGCCTCCCAAAAGTGGAGGGCTGCGTGCCAAATCGAGCACCGCTCATCGCTGCACACTCGAGCTTCACGTCGAAAGGGCTGGCGTTTCTAGGTCTTGCGCTTCTTGGTGGGCGAGGGTTCTAGGGAAGATTCGGCGTCGAGGTTCTGCGAGCGAGTGCGTGCAAAGAACGAGCTGAGCTTGGTCTGCTTGCTGTCGAACGCGCCCCTTCCGATGCCGCCCTTTTGACGCTTGACGTTGGCCAGGTGACGCACGTCGTTGGCACGGAAGAGATCCGTGATTGGTCGCAGCGCTGCGGCTGGATGGGGCGGCGGCTGCACCTTGAGACTGAACATGCCCGTATTGGCTGCAAACGGCAGGAAGCCCGGCTGGGCCGAGGTGTGCGAGATGGTGGTGGGCGGATGCGCCGACAGAAAGCTCGAGATCCACATGCCGTGCGAGACGAGCACGATGTGCGCGATCGGAGCTTCCGATGGTGTCGCCGTTGAGTGAGTGGATGCCAGGCTGCATGCGGCCTCGAGCCACTCGGCGCCGACCCGCCGCACACGCTGCGCAAAGTCGATGCGCGACTCGCCGTTGCCTTGGCCCTTTGGATAGCCAGCAACATGTGTGCCTCCGCGCGTCGACTCTTTCCAGCCAAAGTCCTTCTCCGCCAGTCCAGGATCGACGATGAGAGCGAGCCAATCGCGCGACAGCTGCTCTTGCATCACCTCCAGCCGACTCGTGCCTGGCTGGTCGAGCCTATCTTCGACGATGTGCTCCGAGGGTCGGAGTGCACGCGAGCACGCAGCGTGAATCGCCTCGGCCGTCTTGCGTGCTCGACCGATTGGACTGCACACCACCAGCGTAGGTGGAGGAAGATCCAGGCGTGATATCGAATCTTTGCTTTCACCATCTTTGCTGCATGTCGTCGCCCAAGTGCGCGCGAGCGCATCCACCTGCGCCTGACCAAACACGGTCAGTGGCGAATCGGTCACGCCCTGCAGTAAGCGGTTCATGTTGCCCGTCGTCTCGCCATGGCGCACCAGCGTCAGTATCGCATGCGGCATGGCGCCATGTGGCCGTAGCAAGAGTGCCGAGCAGATCCGTTGCCACCCGCACCTTCTTTCCGCTCATGCAAGTGGAGCAGGACCTGCAGCTCGAGAGGGCGGATTCGAGGTGGAGGTTGGAGCAGATCGCCGATCCTTATCTCACTCTCACTCTAACACCCTCAAATTTCCGCGTTCGAGTCAACGCTTCTTTCAGCTCGTCCGACGCACGCCAAACGCGGTGGAGCAAATTTTGAGCTGCATCTGCACCACGGCAGAGGCAGGTGGCACGAAGAAAAAGAAAAAAACTCCAAGCTTTCTTCTGGCTCGAGAGCGGCGGAAGTGCACGTTCGGAGACCCTTTTTCTTTCGATTTTTTTTTGTGGCAGCTGCAGCTTTCAAAGCTCGGACGGAAAGAGAAAGCCTGGCGAACGCAGCCTTCGCCGCTTGCTTCCTCTCTTCTTGGACATCGTCCGCCGTACCCACCTGCTCCTGGTCCCAAGCAACCGCGTCTCGATAGACATCCACTTGCTCGTCGCCCAACATGTCCGAGGCCATCCACTCGCAGTACGACTCCATCCTCATCCTCGACTTTGGGTCGCAGTACTCGCACCTGATCACGCGACGATGCCGTGAGCTCAACGTGTACTGCGAGATGCTCCCCTGCACGCAGAAGATCAAGGATCTGGACTGGAAGCCCAAGGGCATCATCCTCTCCGGCTCGCCGTACTCGGTGTACGACGACATCGCGCCGCGCGTAGACCCGGACGTCTTCACCGCCGGCGTGCCCGTGCTGGGCATCTGCTACGGCCTCCAGGAGATCGCCTGGAACCACGGCGGCAAGGTGGACCCGCACGACAAGCGCGAGTACGGTCACGCCGAGGTCGAGGTGGTCAAGCACGGCGTGCCCCACCTCGACGCGCTCTTCAAGAACTGGGAGGGCAGCGTGCAGGTCTGGATGTCGCACGGCGACCAGCTCAGCAAGGCGCCCGAGGACTTTGTCGTCATCGGCAAGACGCCCACCGCCCCCTTTGCCGCCATGGCGCACAAGTCCAAGCCCATCTACGGCGTCCAGTTCCACCCCGAGGTGACGCACAGCGTGCGCGGCGTCGAGCTCTTTGACAACTTTGTCGACATCTGCCACTGCCGCCGCGACTGGACCATGGAGACGTTCATCGACAAGGAGATCAAGCGCATCCGCGAGATCGTCGGTCCCAAGGGCCAGGTGCTCGGCGCCATTTCCGGAGGTGTCGACTCGTCCGTCGCCGCCAAGCTCATGCACGAGGCGATTGGCGACCGCTTCCACGCCGTCATGGTGGACAACGGCGTGCTGCGCACCAACGAGGCGGCGCAGGTGTACGAGATGCTCTCCAAGGACCTCGGCGTCAACCTCACCGTCGTCGACGCCTCGGAGCAGTTCCTCACCAAGCTCAAGGACGTCGAGGACCCCGAGCAGAAGCGCAAGATCATCGGCAACACCTTCATCCACGTCTTCGAGGCCGAGGTGGCCAAGCTCGAGAAGCAGGCCGAGGACGAGGAGGCGGCGGCGCTCGCGGCGGGCAAGCCGCAGGAGGCCAAGGGCAAGTTCGAGTACCTCCTCCAGGGCACGCTGTACCCGGACGTGATCGAGAGCATCTCGTTCAAGGGACCGTCGGCGACCATCAAGACGCACCACAACGTCGGCGGTCTGCTGGAGGATATGAAGCTCAAGCTGATCGAGCCGCTGCGCGAGCTGTTCAAGGACGAGGTGCGTGCGCTTGGACGTCTGCTGGGCATTCCGGCGCATCTGGTGGGCAGGCATCCGTTCCCCGGTCCCGGTCTGGCGATTCGCATTCTTGGAGTGGTGACGCGCGAGCAGGTCAAGATCCTCCAGCACGCCGACAGCATCTACATCGAGGAGATCAGGGCGGCGGGACTGTACGACCAGATCTCGCAGGCGTTTGCGGTGCTGCTGCCCGTGAGGGCGGTGGGCGTGCAGGGTGATAAGAGGACGTACGACCAGGTGATTGCTCTGCGTGCTGCGGCCACGACCGACTTTATGACGGCCACCTGGTTCCCCTTCCCGCCCGAGTTCCTGAGCAAGGTCTCGAACCGCATCACCAACGAGGTGCAGGGCGTCAATCGCGTCGTGCTCGACATCTCGTCCAAGCCCCCCGCCACCATCGAGTGGCTCTAAACCCCCCATCTTGCCAAATGTATATGTTTTCAGGCCCGTTTTCAGAATGACAGCTCAATAGAAGAGAGATTGTTATTGCTTTACTTTCGGAAACACTCAAACGACATGACTGCGGCCGATCCGCCACGTTGCCAGTCTACGTCCTGGAGACGACGGGCTATTGGTGCGGCTTGGGGATCGTCCTCGCTCGTGCAGAGGAAAGTTTCAATACTCTGCAGCAACTCTTGTCGCTGTGCGTCGAGCTTGGGATCGAGACCCTTGATGTACTTTCTTCCGCCTGCTTTGGTTGTGACGACGACGTTGATGCGTGCGCCGCGCAGCATTTCCTTGCGTGCCTTGCTGAGTTTGTGCGTAAGGTCGTTGGGTGTCACTGACCACGTGAGCTGGACCTCTTTGGATACACTCCCCGCTGCGGGTGACGAGGAGGTGCGTCGCTTGATGGCACGCTGCTTGTCGAACTCGTCCTTCTTGTCGATGAGCTTGCAGATGGGAAACTGCACCAGCGCCGACACATCCACCTTGTCTGCATCTTGCGGGCTGTACTCGATGGTTGCACGGTGTGGCTGTGGCGGCGCCACTTGTTGGAGGAAGAACTTGGTGCGGTCGAGCTTTGCCAGGATCGTACGGGTGTGGAAGGGCCCAGCGAGCGAGCCGCTCTTGGGGTCGACGAGGCGTACGTAGTCAGAAGCGTCCGAGATCTGTTCGTCCCGCAAGGGGCCTTCGGGGGCAGAAGGCTCCGGCTTGGACGGCTTGACCGGTGCAGCGCAACGGTGCGGTGTAAAGGAGAGGTGGCGAGTCGCCAACGGTGCGATCGAGGCGCGGGTCAGGGCAGCTGGGAGTACGGAAGGTCCGGCCTTCCGCAGCGAGGCAGGCGTGAGGGCGGCTCGCACCGCTCGTGGCGCCAGTGTGCTCATGATGGCACGCAGGTGATGGTGGATGTGGTGGAGCGTAAGAAGGCGTCGACTTGGAAGAAGTGAAGATGGTCAGCGAGATTTTTTTCTCAGTGTACGTTGCATCGATGTAACACTGATAGATTTTCGCGCTCAACGCGTCTCTTCGACCAACACCTCTTTGGCCTCTTGTTGGGCGCGCAAACCAACACCTCTTCTGCTCACCAACGACCATCCCTGCTCATCGTTAAGCAACATGTCGCGACCATCGTCATCGCGCTCTTCGCCTACTCCATCGGACATCGTCTTTCCTGACCCTCCGACCGCCAACATTTCTGCCTTGGCGTTTTCGCCCACCCCCTCGACTTCGACTAGCATCCTCGCAGCCAGCTGGGACCATGGCGTGCACCACTACCGGCTCGACGATGGGCGCGCTGTGAAGGTGCAGACGTTCGCGCACGAGGCGCCTGTGCTTGACGTGTGCTTTGTGAGCGATACGATCGCTGCGTCTGCAGGCGTGGATCGGCGCGTGCGGCTGCACGATCTGGGGACGGGCAAGACGATGGTTGTGGGTAAACACGAGGATGCGGTGTTGAAGTTACGGTGGTGCGCAAAGACGCAGCTGCTCGTCTCCGGATCGGCGGACAGGACGTTGCGGTTCTGGGATGTGCATAGCGGCGAGGGGATCAAGGCACTCCGAATGCCGGATAAGGTGATTGCGATGGACATTTCACCAGCCTTTGCCAGCGTCCAGGCCGGGCCACTGCCAACCGCATCGCAAGGGGGAAAGTTGGCGGAGCGCGATGAAACACCCAGGCTGGTGGTTGGGATGGCTGGACGACACGTATACGTCTACGACCTGGTCCCACTGCGTGCTGCGATTGATAGGGAGAAGAAGGGGGAGAAGGTGGAGGACCGCGATTGGGAGCCGGACCAGAAACGCGAGTCGTCGCTCAAGTTCATGGCGCGCGATGTGCGATGTATGCCCTCCGGCGACGGCTATGCAACGTCGAGCATCGAAGGTCGAATCGCCGTCGAGTTTTTCAACCCCAAACCGGCGGTTCAGGCGCTCAAGTACGCCTTCAAATGCCATCGTGAAACTATGGACGATGAAGAAGGACCCTACGATACGGTCTACCCCGTCCACGCTATTGCTTTCCACCCCACGTAAGTTCCCACTCCCTCCGCCCTTCACTTCAGCTGAAGGAACGATTTTGCTGATCGAAGTTGCACGCGCAGGCACGGAACATTCGCAAGTCTGGGCGGCGATGGTGTGGCGAGTGTCTGGGACGCAGGCGCAAAGAAGCGCATTCGTCAGTACCCGCGTTTGGACTCCACCATCACAGCTGCCGCCTTCGACCCCTCCGGCCACGTCTTGCTCATCGCCACGGGCACCGATGCCGTGGAACCAATCAACTCCCCCAACGCCGTCACACTCATTGCAAAGACCAACGTGCACGAAGAGTGCAAGCCCAAATCCAAGTCATCGTCGAAATCGAAAAAGTAGCTCGCACACTCTCTATACAATCGACAAAAGTGTATTGCAGTTTAGGCCGAAGCGTGGGCTCGGGCAGCAGCGTCCAGACTGTCGCCAAACATCTTGAGCAAAAACGCTTGGTCCTCGAGGCCAACGGATACGCGCACCAGACCGCGCTCGACGCCAAACTGCGCCGCCCACTCTAGCTCGCCGTAGTGGGCGAGGATGGTGTAGGGGCTGGCGAGCGTGAGATTGGTGCCGAGACTGGGTCCTTTGGCGCACTGCAGCGTATCGTAGAACGCCTTGCTAGCCGCCTCGCTCGCAAACGTAATCGAAAACAACCCGCCATATCCACCTCCACCATCACCCTCCATTGCCCCTAGCTCCGTAAACGCCTTGCGTCGACGACAGACGTTGTAGTTCTCCGGCGTCTGATAGCGCGGATAGAAGAGCTGCTTGACCACCCCCTTGTGCGTGTCCTCTTTTGCGCGCCAGAGCATCTCGGTCACCGCACGCGTGTTGGCATCGATGCGCACGATGCGTCGGATGAAATCGCGACTGTTGCGCTCCATAAAGATCGCATCCTCGTCAAAGTACGTATCTTCATACCACTCGCGCATCACCTCCCTGAGCGCAGCATAGTGAGGCCCCTTGGGATTCAACACCAGACTGCCACCCATCACATTGGCATCGCCCGAAAACACCTTGGTCAACGAGCTCACCAACACGTCCGCATACGGCAGCACCTCGACGTTGACAAAATTGCCGATCGTCTCGTCGACGCACACCAGCACGTTGTACGCGTCGGCGAGCGCACGGATGCGCGGCAGATTCGGCGAACGCAACAGCGGGTTCGACGGAAACTCGCAGAACAACGCCAACACGGGCGCCTCCCCCGACCCCGACGCATGCTGCTGCTGCTGCTGCGTCTGCAAGAGCTCCTCCAGCGAATCCAGATCATCGTCCACGCCAAGCCCGTAAAAGTGGCAGCCGGGACCGAACTTTTGCAGGATCTTGAGCGTGTCCGTGTAGGGGAATCCGAAGCAGACGCTCTTGCCCACCGCGCGCGGGGGCGCATCCGCCGGACTGTCGGCGCGCACGAGCCGGGGCGCAGCACGCATGGCGAGCTGGTGCGCGTGAAAGATGGCCGACATGCCGCAGGGGAAGAGAAAGACGTCGTCTTCGGTGACGCCCGTGCCGGTGCGGCCGGACTCGCCCACCTGGTCGCCCGGTGCCTCGGTGGCCGACTGCTCGGATCGGTCCGAGAGCAGCGTGCCGGCGATCCTGCGACGCAGCGCGAGCTTGGCCGAGGGTGCCGAAGTGAGCGGCAGGTTGCGGCCGTAGCGCTCCTCGACGTACGTCACCAGGTCCGACGACACGGGCTCGACCGAGGCGACGGCGGCAGCGCCAGCAGCATCTTCGCCCGCCGTGGAGGGGCGCTGGAGGATGCCGCTGCTGGACGGAGTCTGAGGTGCGCTCGAATTGGGCGACGGCGTGGCGGTGTGGCTGTTGGTGCGCGTGTAGCGGTTGTAGAAGCGCTTGCCTGCCGACTTTTTGTACATGTCGTCGGTCGAGTTTGAGATTGCCGATTCGGGTGCGGGCGCGGTGTCAGCTGCAGCGGGCTTGTTGGCAACGTCGTGCTGGTCGGCATTTCGGGACGAGTGCTCGAGGAGCGAGAGGCAGCGATCGGCCTGCCTGCTGGAGATGCCGTCGCCAGTGTGCTGCCAGAAGCTCTTTGCGAGCGGGAAGAGATGTGCGGGAAAGAAGACGATGAAGATGTAGTGTGCGGTGGTGCTGGAGGCGTGGTGGTGGGTGGCGTCGAGCTGGTCGGCGACGTGCTCTGCGGTGCTGGAACTGGAGCTGGAAGTAGCGTCCGGAGCAGAAGCCGAGTGTTCGAGCATGGAGAAGCGGACGATGCGGATGGGGAGTGGCGAGGGTGATGCGGCGAGGGTGCGCATGTAGTCGCGGCATCGGTCTGCGATCTTGGCCGAGGGGAAGAGGATGCATGCTTCGTCTGGACGGGCGAACTTTTTGGATAGCAGCGATCCGAGGCGCTGGATGGAGCGATGAATGAAGAAGCGCGGGTAGCCGGTCTCCATGGCGTTGGAGAGACGTCCTTCCTCGTAGTCGATGTTGTCGCTCCAGAGCGGAAGCGAGACCGAGACGGCGTGCGGCATGTTGGCGGGGATGGAGGTGCCGACGGCCAAGTCCTTCTTGCACGCGGCAGCCGCACCCGCCGAGGGTGGCGGTGCGGTTGGCAGCGGCACCGGAGTGGCGAGCTGCATTGTGGGAGACAGGAGATGGTGGTGGTGGTGGTGGTGGAGAGTGGAGAGTGGAGTGGCCAATCAGGGCGCTGTCGTGTGGATCTGCATTATCGCCGCTCTTCCTCCGCTCTCTTTGTGTGTGGGACAGTGTGTGACAGTCGAGGAGAAATGACTCACCGGCTGCCGCTTTTCTTTCCCACGCGGACCGATTCTTCCAGATCATTTTTTGCCGACATGTTCAAGTGTGGCGAGCTAACAGTGCCAAAAAATCCATCTGGACTGCGCTGACGAAATCCGCACACTGTCGAAAGTCGGCCAAATTCGATGCCAACGTCCGCTTCACCGCTTCCCTCTCAACCATATCCACAAACCCCCCCGACGTCGAGGCTGCGCATCCATAGCCTCTTGGTTCCTTGTATCGTGCTTCTCATTGCCCATTCTGCTTGAGCACGCTGGCTTCACAGCCGCATCCCCCTTGTCAACCCTTTTCCACTTGCGCTGCACAGTGTTTGAGAGCCGTAAACACAAGCCTTTTGCGTTCTTGTGACCGTGATCCGTCTACGCTTACGTCCAGGTCCACGTTCGATCCCCCGCCGCGCTGATCTGATCCTTGCTGGTCTCTTTGCCTCGCAGTGGTGAGCCCGCCTGGCACAGCACCTCATCTCGCTGCCCGCCGTGCTTGTGCAGCCCTGCTTGTGCATTCCGCGCATCCCTGCTCAGCGATCCGTGCGTAGTGGTCAAGAGAAACAGCCTCGTTGAAGTGCTCGCTATCCGCCCTTGCTCCCCCCCTCTTCCCTCAGCATCGTCGCCATGTACGGCGCTCCTGCCCAGCATGGCTATGCCGCTCCTCCCCCGCCCCAGTATGGCGCACAGCAGCCGCATTACGGCGCACCTGCTGCCATGCCTCCGCATATGGCCGCACCAGACCCCAACCTCGCCATCGGCACCGACCCCAACGCATTCGCCAACATGTACAACTCGCATCTCAAGTCGCTCACCTTCAACTCCAAGCCCATCATCACCAACCTCACCGTCATCGCACACGACCACGCCGCAACCATGTCGGCCGTCGTAGCAAAGTGCCTCGACGACCACATTATGCACTCGCACCCCTCCGTCCGCCTCCCCGCCCTCTACACGCTCGATTCGATCTCCAAAAACATTGGTCACCCTTACACTCAGCTCTGGGCGGCACGCATCGTTCCGATCTTTCTCGAATCATACCGCCTCGTGGACCAGCCCACCAAGATGCGCATGGAGGAACTCCTCGCCACCTGGAAGACCGCCGGCCCAGGCGCACGCCCGCTCTTCGGCGACAATGCCCAGTGGAGCATCGAGCGTGCGCTGTTTGGCAGCCAGGGCATGCCACAGCACAGCGCTGCGCACGCTGCTCATGCCGCGCCCGTCGCAGACCCTCGCGCGAGCACCGCCAAGTCCAAGGCCAAAGCCATCGAGAACATCGACAGGCTCCTCGCCATCGACGGCCAGGCGCTCGCTGCCAACCCGGCGGACCAGTCGCTCCACGAGAGAGTCGACTCGCTCGCACAGCTCAAGCAGGTCATCCTCACCGCCGACCTCTCCAATCAAGAAATGGCCCAGATCCATGCGCAGCTCGACAGCCTCTCGGCCGCATCGCAGCAGTCCAATTCGTCCGGCCATGCAGCCACGATGCAGGCTCAGCCCCCCGGTCCCTCACTGCCACAAGGTCTCTCCGGTGCGCTCGCCAGTCTTTCCTCGCTCGCGCCTCCGGCAGCCGCTGCACCCGCAGCCAACGGCGGACAAGCGCCACCGAACGCGGCATCGTCGCTGATCGCCTCGCTCATGCAGGCGGGTCTCTTACCCGGATCTTCCACGCCCTCCACTGCGGCTGCCACACCTCCGCCCGTGGAGCGAGACCAAGATGAAGACTATGTGAATGCCATCCTCTCGCTTGACATCAAGATCTCGGGCGCCGAATTCAATCGCGAGCCGGCGTGTTGGTACGACTTGATCCTGCACAAGCATCTTGCGCAGCAGTGTCGACAGTGTGCCAACCGCTATCCTGCGGGCGCGAAAGCTCAGGCGCGCATGGACGATCATCTCGACTGGCACTTTACGCAGAACCGTCGGGCCAAGGACAGTGCGGCGCGCGGGCAGTCGCGCTCGTGGTTCGACCGACTCGATGCCTTTATCCGCGGGGGCTTCGACGACAGTGCACGTACGACTCGCTCTGGTGCAGGTGACGATGGCGAGGGGAAAACAACGCTGAGTGCAGCACAAGACAAGGCGCTAAAGGAGAAGTTCGCCAAGACGTTTGTGGTTGTGCCGAGCGATGCGGATGTGGCGGCGCGACCGTGCGGGATTTGCAAGGAGCCGTTCAAGAGCCAGTGGAGCGAGGACGAGGAGGAGTGGATCTGGCTCAACGCCATCCGTGTCGACGATAACGGCGCAGAGATTTATTACCATGCTAGCTGCCACCACTCGGCCAAGAGTTTAACCGATAGCGTGGCGGATCGCCGAACAGCCAGTGTGGGCGTCAAGAGACGTAGCACCAGCCGTACTGCCACACCCACCGCATCCACCGCCGCCGCGAGGAAGAGAAAGTCGGACCTCGAACCGGCGCTGGACATTGTAGAAGAACCACCAGCCAAAAAGTCGGCCATCTAATCTCCCCTCCCCCCTTCCCTAACCGCTTAGTAAATGGACAGCATCACATCCACACACGCACACTCACTACGAAGCAGTGCATAATGAAGAGCTAGGATTACAATTGAAGTTGGGGAGTGTGCTACTTTTCAATGAGGTTGTGGATGTTTTCAATCACGTCTAGGTACGCCTTGGTGGCGGGACTATCTGGATACTCGTCTGTGAAGCTGACGCCCAAATCGCAGCTCTTTCCAATGCGTGGATCCAATGGAATCGACCCTAGGAACCTGAGGCCAAGTTCGTCGCACAGCGCTTTTGCGCCGCCAGTGCTGGGATAGAAGATCTCGCTGTACCCTGTGCAACTGGGACAGACGAATCCGGCCATATTTTCCACCACGCCGAGGATGGGGACGTTCATCTTGCGGCAGAACGAGATCTCCTTCCTCACATCCTGCAGCGACACCTCCTGTGGTGTGGTGAGCAAGATTGCTCCGGTGATGCCCGAGTCTTTGAGGTACGATACGATGGACAGATGTTCGTCCGATGTACCCGGTGGTGTGTCGATGAGCATGTAGTCGATCAATGCCGAATCGGTGGGTGCATCTTCGTCCTCCAGCCCCGCGGTCCAATCGACATCTTTCAAAAACTGCTTGATGAGGCCGTTCTTCTTGGGACCTCTCCAAATCACCGCCGACGATGCCGAAGGCAACAAGAATCCAATGCTCATAGCACACAAATTATCCGACACGTACACAGGTGACCACCCCTGCGAGGTCGAGTGAATGCTCTGACCCGCCAAGCCCAGGATGGTTGGAATCGAGGGTCCACAGATATCGATATCCATAATCGCCACCTGTTTCTCCTGCTCCTCTTCTCCCTCGTGCTTTTGGTCTTCGTCGTAGCTGGCGGAGAAGCGCGAGCTGAATGCCCAGCCCAGTTGCGCGGTGAACGTGCTCTTGCCCACACCGCCCTTGCCGGACATGATGAGGATCTTGTGCTTTACGCGCGACATGCGCTGTTGAATCAACGGCAGATCAGGGTCGGGGCCTTTGGGTGCCGAAGCACACGCGTCCTGGTTCGGACAGCCAGCACATGCATCCGCCTTGCCAGCTTGCTCGGACTCGGTACCGGGACAGTGCGCCGGTGCATTCTCGGGAACCTGGTCAGGCAACGCGCGCGCGATCGATTCGGCGCCCAATGCGGTCGACGCCAGCGCTGACGTAGGGGGATGATCCACCGCCAGCATCGTGTGTTCAATGTGCAGAGATGATGGTTACCCGGTAAAGTGGCGAATCGAATGTCGAAGCCAAGGCTCAGCCGTGACTCGCTTCGCGCTCTGCATAAGCAGCTATCTCCGATTGATAGCCGCATCGGCCGATTGGATCCAATCGGCCAGCCGATCTTATTCGTGTCAGATCTCAATCGAATGTACAAAAAAGGACACCAAAATTGATGCCCGTCTGAGCTGCTTTGCGGAACTGCAAGGTCCGGAGTGTTGGAGCTGAACCCACCCCCAGCTGCGGTGCCGTGCCATTGCGCACTGGAGTGTGCACATCGATGGGGGCCGTGGGTAGCCGACGAGACACGCAGCGAAGGCACGAGCTTTGGGAGGACGATCCGCGGATCTCTGCAGCAGGTGCCGAGCGGTGGCTCCCGAATCGAGCCCTTTTTGTTTTCTGGTTGCTCCGCTGCACGCCGTTCGGTCGAAAAAAGCTGTGGTCCGCGGCAAAGCCGAGCGATACGCCTTGGCCTTCTGCACGACGCTGCACAGCACACATCCGAAAGAACGACGGACTGCAAACAGGCACGGACGGTGCAGAGGGAGATCGTCTGTGCAGCGGCGAACGAGACGCTGTGGCCTCGGAGTAGCGCTGCGTGGTGACCGCACACACGGGCCATCGCCAAGGTTACCGCCCAGCCCGCTATCCACCCATCCTAGAAACCAAAGCTCCGCGGTCTCGGAATAACGCTTTCGAATATTTTCAGGCATGTGCTCTCGGTGAACAGCTGCCAGGCGCGTCTGTCAAGATGATCGGAATCAAAGCTTATTTAACCCAGACAAGGCGGACGGCCACATGGCCAGGGCGGAGCATTACCAATCGAGCCCACTCGCACTCGCATCTCCACGGAGGTGTGGTGCGAGCGGTTTTCTTTTTTTTTCGCGTGGATTTCTTTCCGCAAGCGAAAGGAATTTATATTTTATGCGCGAGCGGCGTGTGTGACAAAACAGCCCGAGCCGAGAGGCTGCCTTGCCTGACAGCCCTTTTTATTTTGTGTTTTTTTTTTCGGGAGAAGAGGAAAACATCAACACAACGACGCGATCCAGGCACAGCTCCTGCTTCAGCCAGCCAGCTCCAGCCAGCTCCACACATCTGAAACCTCCTCCCGCTGCGCTCCAACGGCATGTGCAAACCGCCCACACTGTCGAGCCTCCAATCCACTCCTCGTCCCTGCGCAAGCCGCACATCGACAATGAGGACAGAGCGCTGAGCACCCCTTCCTTGCCGTCCTCATCCATCCTCCCCCTCGTCCATCCCCTCTACATCCCCGTAGACGCTCGAGTGGTGCCATCCACACCATCTTGCGCAATCATGGAGGCCGAAGGTCATGCCTCGCAGCCGGCACCCGCCATCGCCACGGCGGCGGTGAGCGAGCGTGACATCCACAGCACCGGCACCGGTGCTGCCACCACCAATGCTGCTACCACCAACGCTGCCACCTCGGATGCTGGTGACGCCGACAACTCGTCCCCCGAAAGCAGCTCCAACCAGCCCTCGCCTGCCATGCCTCCCATCCAGCGCACCAAGAGCGGTCGTGGCAGCGTTCCCTTTGCTTCGCTCGACCCGGAAGGAACCGCCGAACTCACCCGTCGCCTCACCGAGCACTCGCTCCGCGCCCGCACCCGCACCACCGACGGCGGAGAGGCCGCGCTCGGCTTCGACCCCTTTGACAAGAACGGCAACTTTGAGCTCGAGCGCTTCCTCCGCCACGTCATGGACCAGGCACAGGGCGCCAACCTCGAGAGCCGCCAGATGGGTCTCGTTTGGCAGAACCTCACCGTCACCGGCCTCGGCACCGGCTACGCCATTGGCGATACCATCGGCTCCCTCCCGCTCAAGCCCTTCGAGGCCATCAAGAACTTCAGGTCCATCCTCCGCCCGCCCGTCAAGACCATCATCGACAACTTTGAGGGCTGCGTCAAGCCCGGAGAGATGCTCCTCGTCCTCGGTCGCCCCGGCGCAGGATGCACCTCCTTCCTCAAGAGCATCGCTTCCTACCGAGACGGATTCAGGTCCATCGACGGCACCCTCCTCTACCAGGGCATGGATCACACCGTCATCGACAAACGCCTGCGTGGTGACGTGGTCTACTGTCCCGAAGACGACGTGCACTTCCCCACGCTCACCGTCTGGCAGACGCTCGCCTTCGCCGTCGCCACACGTGCACCCCAGGCACGTCGTCGACTCGACCTGATCGAAAGCCAGGACACCAACACGCGCGACGGCTACGTCAAGACCGTCGTCGAGGTGCTCGCCACCATCCTCGGCCTCAGGCACACCTACAACACCAAGGTCGGAAACGATTTCATCCGCGGCGTCTCGGGCGGCGAGCGCAAGAGGGTCAGCGTCGCAGAGACCTTTGCCGCGCGCGCAAAGATCGCGCTCTTCGACAACTCGTCGCGCGGCCTCGACTCGAGCACCGCGCTCGAGTTCGTCAAGTCGCTCCGCATCTCGACCGACATTTCCAACACCACCACCATCGCATCCATCTACCAGGCCGGCGAGGGCCTCACCCAGCTCTTCGACAAGGTGCTCGTCATCAACGAAGGCAGGCAGGTCTACTTTGGCCCCACCTCCGAAGCCGCCGACTACTTTACGGAGATGGGTTATGTGCCCCACGACCGTCAGACCACCGCCGACTACCTCGTCGCCTGTACCGACGTGCTCGGCCGCAAGACCCGCGAGGGCTTTGAGGATCGTGCACCTCGAACCGCCGACGAGATGGCGCGCTACTGGCAGAACTCGCCGCAGGGCAAGAAGAACCACGACGAGGTCGAGGCGTACCTCAAGGAGCTGCGCGAGAGTGTCGACGACGACGCCATCAAGCACTACAAGCAGGTGGCGCGCGAGGAAAAGGCAAAGCACTCGCGCAAGGGCAGCGCGTACATCATCTCGCTCCCCATGCAGATCCGGCTGGCCATCAAGAGGCGTGCGCAGATCATCTGGGGCGATCTCGCCACGCAGCTCGTCATCACGCTCGCCAGCATCTTCCAGGCGCTCATCACCGGCTCGGTCTTCTACCAGATGCCCAAGAACACCTCGGGCTTCTTCTCGCGCGGCGGCGTGCTCTTCTTTGCGCTCCTCTACAACTCGTTCACCGCACTCTCCGAGATCACCGCCGGCTATGCGCAGCGCCCCATCGTGATTCGGCAGAGAAGGTTCGCCATGGTGCATCCCTTCTCGGACGCCATCGCCAACACGCTGCTCGACATCCCCATCCGCACGTTTACGCTCATCTTTTTCGACATCCTCATCTACTTTATGACCGGACTCGCCTACACCGCCGACCAGTTCTTTGTCTTCTTTGGCGTCACCGCACTCATCAGCTTCACCATGGTCGCCTTCTTCCGCTGCCTCGCCGCTGCGACCAAGTCCGAGTCGCTCGCCACCATGATCGGCGGTCTGGCCGTCATCGACCTCGCGCTCTACGCCGGGTACGTCATCCCGCGTCCGTCGATGGTCGTGTGGTGGAAGTGGCTCAGCTACTGCAACCCCGTAGCATTTGCGTTCGAGATCCTGCTCACCAACGAGTTCCGCCGCCTCAACGTGCCGTGTGGCAACTACGTCCCCTACGGTCCGGCATACGCCAACGTCGCCTCCGCCAACAAGGTATGCCCTGTCGCCTCGGCGCGCCCGGGACAGGAGACGATCAACGGCTCCGAGTACCTGGCCGCGTCGTTCCAGTACTACTACTCGAACTCGGCCCGCAACGCCGGCATCGTGATTGCCTTCTGGATCTTCTTCCTGATGGTCTACTTTGTCGCGTCCGAGTTCCAGAGCGACCCGACCGCCTCGGGCGGCGTGATGGTGTTCAAGCGCGGCTCGGCACCCAAGCAGGTCGTGCAGGCTGCCAAGGCGTCGGGCGATGTCGAGGCGGGTGACGTGGCTGGCGTCTCGCCCGACCCGGTCGCCGACGACGCCAACGCAGACCACCAGGACTCGAACGACGCAGTGGCCAAGCTCGAGTCGTCCACCTCGGTCTTCGCCTGGAAGAACGTCAACTACGACGTCATGATCAAGGGCAATCCGCGCCGTCTGCTCAACAATGTCTCGGGCTTCGTGGCGCCGGGCAAGATGACGGCGCTCATGGGCGAGTCGGGTGCGGGCAAGACCACGCTGCTCAACGTGCTGGCACAGCGCACCGACACGGGTGTGGTCAAGGGCATCTTTAGCGTCAACGGCGCACCGCTGCCCAAGTCGTTCCAGTCGTCCACGGGATACTGCCAGCAGCAGGACGTGCATCTGGCGACGCAGACGGTGCGCGAGGCGCTGCAGTTCTCGGCGCTGCTGCGACAGCCGCGCGAGACGCCGCGCGAGGACAAGCTCGCCTACGTCGAAAACGTGATCAAGATGCTCGAGATGGAGTCGTGGGCCGAGGCGCTCGTCGGCGAAGTCGGCATGGGCCTCAACGTCGAGCAGCGCAAGCGCCTCACCATCGGCGTCGAACTGGCTGCCAAGCCCAAGCTGCTTCTCTTCCTGGACGAACCCACGTCGGGTCTGGATGCCATGGCCGCATGGAGCATCGTGCGCTTCCTGCGCAAGCTCGCCGACGCGGGACAGGCGATCCTGTGCACGATCCACCAGCCCTCGGGCGAGCTGTTCAACCAATTCGACCGTCTGCTCCTGCTCCAGAAGGGCGGCAAGACGACCTACTTTGGCGACATTGGCCACAACTCGCAGAAGCTCATCGACTACTTTGGCAAGCGTTCGGGCAAGACGTGCGGCGAGGACGACAATCCTGCCGAGTACATCCTCGACGTCATCGGTGCAGGCGCAACCGCCTCGACGGACAAGGACTGGCACCAGCTCTTCCTCGACTCGGAACTGTACTCGGACATGGTGCAGGGCCTGGAGCAGATCGACGCGTCCGGTGCCGATCACACCGTCACCGCCGAGGAGGAGATAATGGGCCGACGCGAGTACGCCGAGCCGCTGTCGGTGCAGGTGCGCCTGGTGCTCAAGCGCGCTTTCACGCACTACTGGCGCGACACGACGTACATCATCTCGAAGCTCGCGCTCAACATCATCGCTGGTCTCTTCATCGGCTCGTCGTTCTACGGCCAGGGATCCAAGGAGACGAGTGCGTCGCTGCAGAACAAGATCTTTGCCGTCTTCATGGCGCTTGTGCTTTCGACGTCGCTGTCGCAGCAGCTGCAGCCGGTGTTCATCCAGTTCCGTGCGCTGTACGAGGTGCGCGAGCGGCCGTCCAAGATGTACAGCTGGTGGGTGGCGGTGTGGTCGGCGCTGCTGGTCGAGATGCCGTGGAACCTGCTGGGCGGTACGCTCTTCTGGATCTGCTGGTACTTTTTCTTGGACTTCCCGCACGAATCCAAGACGGCCGCGACGGTGTGGGGATTCTACATGCTCTTCCAGATCTACTTCCAGACGTTTGCGGCGGCGATCGCGGCCATGTCGCCCAACCCGATGATCGCCTCGATCCTCTTTTCGACCTTCTTCTCGTTTGTCATTGTCTTCTGCGGCGTGGTGCAGCCTCCTCCGCAGCTGCCGTACTTCTGGCGAAGCTGGCTCTTCTACCTGAGCCCTTTTACGTGGCTCGTGGAGGGCATGCTTGGATCGGTGCTCACGGGGCGTCCCGTTCGATGTGCGCCCAACGAGCTCAACGCCATCACGCCACCGTCGGGCCAGACGTGTGCACAGTACCTCGCCAACTTTGTCACCACGCTCGACGGACCCAACCTCGGCACGGGCTACTATCAGGACGGACCCAACGGCACGTGCGAGTACTGCCAGTTCCGCGTGGGCGACGACTACCTGCGCACCATCGACATGAACGCCGCCAACCGCTTCCGCGACCTCGGCTTCATCTGCGCGTACATCCTGTTCAACATTGCGCTCTGCTTTGCCCTCTTCTACTTTTTCCGCATCTTCAAGCTCTCGGACTGGAAGAAGGCCGACAACAACAAGGTCGTGGCCAAGGCCGACGAGGGCACGGACAAGGCCGACGAGAAAGTCACCGAGACCTCGGCGGCTGCCAAGGGCGCGGGCAACGACGCTGCCGCCCAGCCTCTGCCGGCCACCAACGTTCTCCCAGCCGCCGGCGTGCAAGGCCCGCAGACCAAGGTCTAGCCGTGCTTTCCTACATTCTCCCAAAATTGGCTCCGGATGTCACTCTGCTCCTACACCGCTCTCTGCTTAATTTATGCATTTGTCAATCTTTTGTTGCGAGTGTGATCGGTGGCGGACTTGCGCTGAAAGTAGCGTGCTCACGAAGAGGAACGCAGCGAGGGGCAAGTTGATGAAAGGGGGGAAAAGTGTCAACTGCCGTCGTTACGGAAATCGCGCGGATGGAGGCGGCATTGCGAATTTGCTCCGCTCCGAGCTTCCGCCGTGATGATGGCCCGAGCGCGCGGCCATTTGGCTGATTACGAGTTTGGCTTGCGATTGCGTCTTTGCTCTCCACCTCAACATTGCTCACATATACCTACATCTCCATATCAGCGTCTCGACACTCAGACACACCGCACCGCCTCTCTACTGAAAGCAAAGGACAATGGCTGGACCACTCGTGCTCATCACGGGCATCACGGGCTTCCTGGCGGCGCACGTGTTGGATGCGGTCCTTGCATCGCCTGCCAACTACCGCGTGCGCGGCACTTTGCGCTCGCTGAGCAAGAAAGACGCGCTTCTCGCGCGACTCTCTGAGGCGGACCGCTCGCGCATCGAGCTGGTCGAGGTGGCGGACACGGCGACATCGGACCTTCTGCCGGCAGTGCGCGGCGTGGAGATCATCCACCACGTTGCTTCGCCGTACCAGCTCAACGTGCAGGACGCCGAGCGCGATCTGCTCATCCCTGCCGTCGAGGGCACGCTGAACCTGCTGCGCTTTGCCAAGCACGAGAAGTCCGTCAAGAAGATCGTCATCACCTCGTCGTTCGCGGCGGTGACGAGCCTCAAGGAGGGCGGACCCAACCGTCCGGGCTACACGTACACCGCCGAGCACTGGAACCCCGCATCGTACGAGGACGCACTGGCGGCCGGTGGAGCCGGCGCCTTCTCGTACTCGGTGAGCAAGAAGCTCGCCGAACAGGCGGCGTGGGACTACGTGTCCAACGAAAAGCCGCATTTCGAGATCGCGGCGATCAATCCGCCCATGATCTACGGCCCCACGCTGCAGCCGGGCGTGACGCTGGCGAACCTCAACACGTCGAGCAAGACGATCTATGGGCTGGTGGCTGGGGCGGACCAGATGCCCGAGGACAGGCTGCCGCTCTTCTGCCACGCACGCGATGTGGGCGATGCGCACGTGGCCGCCACGGAGAAGGATGACGGGATGGGTAAGAGGTGGTTGCTGTGCGGCGGCAAGTTCACGTGGGCGCATGCGGTGGGCTTCATCGCCGCCGAGTATCCGCAGCTGCAGGAGCGTCTGCCCAAGGGATGGAAGGAGGCGAGCGAGAGCCTGCGTGACTTGGACTCGATCGCTAGCCTCGACACCAAGCCCGCCGAGCAGACGCTGGGCATCCGCTTCAGGGACTGGCAGACCACGCTGAGGCAGTCGCTCGATAGCCTGCTTGAACTCGAGCAACGTGCTGACTGGAAGTAGACTGCTCGCATCCCAGCTCGGTAATGGCAATGCGACGTTTTTCATTCGCGAGCAAGCGGGAAGGAGTAGTGGAGGTGGTATGGGCCTGGATCGCGCTTGGGCTTGAGCATGAGCTGGACACTGTCGACGTCGCACGTCAATGCTGCCTCACCACCTTCGGAAAGTAGGTCCTCGGCAGCAGTACAGAGCTGCCAAGTTTGCCTTGGGTCATGTGCCTGACCGACGCTGACGTGGGGTTTCCACACTTCGCGCCTGGACCTTGCGCTTCCCACGACGGGTAGGACTGCCTGTTTGAGCTCGACCTGCAGCTGCACAATCCGGCGCGAAGATGTGTCCTCTCCAGCTGAGCTTTGACTGCGCGAGGGTGTGGATCGGTCGGTAAAGTTGGTGGGTGTTGGACGCAGGTGTACATTCGTATATGCGCGGAGCGGGAATGTCGCCACCTGGTCCAGACGCAGCGCGTGTGCATGATACCGTGCACACACCTCCGCCGCGACCTGCTTGATCCGATCCAGCTTTTGGGCGTTACTGCTCACAAGGTCGGCGAAGATGTCGCCGGTAGAGCTGGGCTGGTGAGAGGAGAGGATGAAGGGCGGGATGAGGGTGATGTGTGGAAGCCAGCGCGCATAGGCCTGGTCGTGTTCGCGCCGCAGCTGCTGCAGTGCATCGTACCGACGCCGATCAGAAGGCGTGCGCGGGGAGAGAAGCACCACAATTACACCCACCAGCTCGCGTGGCGGTGCGACGCTACGAGAAGCGGCAATGGACGTTGCCATCCTGTGGAGAGATGGTGAGGGGGTGATTGGCAGAGTGATAGCCTCGGAAGCCTCCACATGTGTGCGCGAAGGTGGGATTCTCCCCCGCGTCGATTGTGAATTCCGCGCTTTCCCCCCGCGTCGATATCCCGGCTGTCACGTCCGCAATGCCACACCTTATCGAGCTTCCTCACCCTCCACGATCAGCTCGCCACACGCTACCTTATCGCAATGCCGGTGCCCAAGATCCTCGTCTGTCGCACGATGCCGACCTCGGTGCTGAAAGCCGCCGCGGCAGCTGGCAAAGTGGAGCTCATCACCCGCCCGGACGACGAGGGCGAGCAAGCCCCCTCGCGCGACTGGGTGCTCTCCCACCTCCCCGGTGTATCCGGCGCGGTGATCTGTCTCTCAGAACACGTGGATGCAGAGTTCCTCGATGCAGCCGGACCGTCGCTCAAGGTGGTCAGCACGATGAGTGTGGGCTACGACCACATTGACCTTGCACTCGTCAAGTCGCGCGGCATCCGTGTGGGCAATACCCCGGGAGTTCTCGACGATGCAGTGGCCGAGCTGTGCTTGCTGCTCGCACTTATGGTCACGCGACAGGTGCCCGTGGCCTTGCGTACCGTGCAGGAAGGTAGGTGGCCCAGTTTCCCGTGGACACCCACGTGCTTCATGGGCCCGAGCATGGCTGGAAAGACGATCGGATTCCTCGGGTTCGGAAACATCTCCCAGTCACTAGCCAACCTGCTGGTGCCCTTCAAACCCAAGCGGCTCGTATACACCACCTCCAGGCCGAGGAAGTTTGATGCGGCCGACGGCTACTTTGGCTCGCTCGTGCGCGGCGGGTTCCCGGTGGAGGGGATCGCAGTGGAGAATGTGGACAAGATGCAGCTGGCCGAGGTGGCGGATGTGGTGTTTGTGCTCGTCGACCTCAACCCGACCACGAAGCACATTGTCGACAAGGAGTTCCTCGCCGCCATGAAGTAAGTGCCCGCCCCACGGACCATAAAGAGAAGGAGCAAGAACTGACGGTTTTGGGGGGATAGGACCTCGGCGTACGTTGTGAATGCCTCGCGTGGCGGGACGGTGGATACAGCCGCACTGGCCGAAGCGCTGCGCACCAACAGCATCGCAGGTGCCGGACTGGACGTCATCGAAGGTGAACCAGGTAAGATCCGAACACCAACCCGCCGAGGTATCCGTGCAGCCCGTCATGTCCGCTTACTGACCGGTATTGACATGATACGGGGTATTGTAATTTGTACAGACATCCAGGCGAGTCATCCACTGCTTGCACCAGACTGCCGCGACAAGGTAGCCCTGCTTCCGCATATCGGCAGCGGCACCACCGAGACGCGCCAGGCCATGGCGGACATGACCATGAACAATGTGCTTGGCGCACTGGGATTGCGAGACGAGCACGGCAAAGAAGCCGTCATGGACGCCGAGCTCTAAATTTCCCGCCCTTCCTTCCCCCACCTGGGCCGGTATTCATGCCGACTTCTTGTCGCTCGACGCGGAGACCAATGCCAGTGTCAGTGCCAATGCCGTGGAGGAGTGAATTCAGGCGCGAGGGTCGAACGGCGGCGGAACTCTCCTTGCGAGCTTTGAAAGGCACGACGGAGGAGGCGGAGATAGGTCGCAGCGGGCGTGTTGGACGCCATCACGGTTCGCCATCGATAAGCCAACTTGAGACGGTGTTGCACGGTCACCGCCATGATTGCATGCCGCGTGCTCCTCGTGCTCCGTGTATTGCGGCTTCTCATCACCTACTCTAAACCAGGCCGGATCCATGTTTCCGTTTCGACTTGGGCGAGTGTGTTGTGCGGGGAAGGAGGAGATGCGGATGTTTCCGCGCAGCTTCGGCATGGTCCGCATTTCGCAGTGTGCTGGTGGAGCCTCGAATCTCCTCATAAGGCAGCTGGTTGCCAGGGTCTCTCGAGACCCCTCACCTCTAAACCGAAAATGCGCTTTTTTGGATTTTGTTAGGTTGGAGCGCAAAATCGGCGGCGATGGCGAGGCTGGGATCGGTGGGATGGCAATCGGGAAAGGGCCGCGCTTGGACCCTCGATTACCCCGCATTTCTGGGATGCGCGCTGCTGCGCGTTGCTGCAGGGTGAGCCCTGTCCAAGTCGGATGGGTTGCGCTTATCTCGCGCTCCCGCCCCAACAGCCTGCTCCAGCTCGAGCTTAAGCGCCTTGCCCTGCATCGCAGCATGGCTCGTGCTCAGACGCTAGGACGCGATGCCCGTCCATGTCGGCCTCGATCGTGCAGGCGGCGTTTAGACGCTCCAAGCCGACGCTGCGCCTGCGGTGGTGCGCCGCCTTCGTGCTTTCATGCTGCAACTATAATGGCAGCGATACGAGCAATCCCAACATGACATTATCGGATGCTCCGAAGATGTGCCGCATCGATTACGTCGTGGGTGAGCTTACCGATGAGATCGATTCCGCACAGCGTCGGATGCATCCGTTGCTGGCAGAGAGAGAGAGAGAAAGCTAGGCTGGGCAGTCGAGAGCAGCTCGTCGAGTCAGGTGGCGAGCGAGGGCGACGCGCGAGACGAGATACTTCCGCCGATCCCTGTTCCAGTCGTGGCCGGCTGAGCGGGTGCCGTGCGTTGTGAGCGTTCGTTCGGGTGCGTTCCGGCTCTCTCCTTGGGGTCGACCGTGCTGCGCGAGAATGCCGACGCGACCGGGCTCTCACCGCTGCTGCTGCTGCTGCTGCTGCTGCTCCGCCTGCCGTCTTTGCCTTGCCTTGCCTCGCCCTGCCTCGCCACTCGCCCTGATTTCCGCACCCCCACCCGCACAGACACTCGCGCCCAGCCGGCTCGCGTCGGAAGCCCCCCTCCCCCGGGCAGAGCCAGATATAAAGCTGCCTCCTCCCTCGCTGCCATCGCTTGCTCTCACTCGCTCCCCCTTCCCGACTCGTGCTTCGCCCCTTCGATCGCCAGCATCTGCCCCGCTCGCATCGTCTAGACTGTCCGCCGCACTTTCTCTCAGATAGACCGCTCGCTCTGCGCAATGTCGACGCTACGCATCCCCACCGCCTCCGGTGCCAACTCGGGCACCTTCAACGCGGCCAAGGGCGCTCTTGCCGGTGCAGGCGCCGGTGCCGCCGTCGGCTCCTCCTCGTCCACCAACAAGGCTGCCCCAAAATCCTACCCTTTCTGGCTCGGAGGTGCGTATTTCCCCAACGATGTCGCGGTTGGGATGGCTGGGGAAACTGACGTGCTTTGTCTTCTTCTTTTGGCTTGGCGTGGCTTAAATAGGCGCGGCAGGATGTTGTGCGGCGAGCATCACGCATCCGCTCGACCTGACCAAGTATCGGCTGCAGACGGCGACGGTGAAGCAGGGCATGCTGCGCACCATGGTGCAGTCGGTGCGCACCGAGGGCGTGACGAGTCTGTGGCACGGCCTGACGGCGACGCTGCTGCGCCAGTTCACCTACTCGGTGACGCGGTTTGCGGTGTACGAGGACATGAAGACGCGCGTGACGGCGCGTTCGGGCACCGCGCCTACGACCGCTGAGCTGGCGCTGTGCTCGGGTACCGCGGGTGCGGTGGCGGGCGTGGTGGGCAATCCCGCCGAGATCGTGCTGGTGCGCATGTGCTCGGACCTCAACCAGCCGCGTGAAGCGCGCTACGGCTACCGCAACTGCATCGACGGCCTCGTGCGCATCGTGCGCGACGACGGCGCCGCCACACTCTTCCGCGGCCTCGCGCCCAACGTGGTGCGCTCGGTCGTGATGAACATCTCGCAGCTCGGCTCGTACGATCTCTTCAAGGGCATCCTCCAGCGACTGGATGTGCTGCCCGATGGACCCGTGCTTCAGACAGCGGCGTCGTTCTGCGCAGGTACGCTCAGCACCACCATGTGCACGCCCATCGACGTGGTCAAGTCGCGCGTCCAGAACCTCAAGGGCTCGGGCGTGGGTGTGGGCACCGTCATCCGCGACGCGCTCGCAAAGGACGGCCCGGCCGTCTTCTTCCGCGGCTGGACCCCCGCATGGCTGCGTCTCCAGCCCCAAACCACGCTCCTCTTCCTCTTCTTCGAACAGTTCAAGGCGCTCGTCGACAAGTCGCGCGCGCCCAGGCTCGACGACACGCGCGTCGCCAACTGATTTCTCCTCTCTCTCTCTCTCTCTCT